TTTTCACACCTAGAAGGAGACGATAGGATGGAATAGAGGTTAATATCGGTTCAGGGAGAAGTGGTGTTCTGGGTTAGTTCTAAGGCTGAACAAAACTCAAAACTGCATTTAATTTTAACCAATATTTGCGATTTTTATCTAAATTTTCCTTTGCAATAACCAAAAGGTTGTAAATGTTTCTGTCCAAACTTTCCATTTTTGAAAGCTTGCTTGTCCTGAGTCCATTATTGCAAGACTTTACTGTAACCTTTGTGTGAAAAAGTTATGACTTCTACTTGCATGCATGGATCTGCCTCAACTATATCTCCATTTCTATGTGACGACAAACACCCTACAAGCACTTTACTGCAACCTGAATGGCTGGAGTTAGAAATTTAGTGTCTTACTGTGTTTAAATGTAGTGTTATTAAATTGGGTGCCTCTATAATCTGAAAGTTGTGTTTAAATTGTGATTATATTGCAAACGCAATTAATTGCCCAGCCAGAGGGGGAGATGGAGGGAGGGAAGCATTCCAAGTCAAGTTTTTCCACCTCTGAGATGTTTTTATATTAGGTTTCTCTTTGAGACAAAATTGTTTTCCTTTAGCAGCTGTAGATTCAGCTTCTGATAATAAATAATAACTTTGAGTTGAATTTCTGACTGAATGTTTGATGCTCTTCATTTTCACACAAGCAGCCTGAAAAAGATGATTGGACCAAGCTGGTTTTCTCTAACATTGGGTCTCACGGTTGGTTGTTCTCCTCCTGGCAGGATGTGCTTGGTGCGGATGCGTCAGGAGGGCAGAGAGGGGAAGTTCATGTGCCGTTACATCGTCCACTCCATGTGGGAGGACGTGGAGCAGAGGAGCAAAATAATGGGGGTGAGTCGGGTCCAGACTTTGCAGCAATCCCTCATACCGAGCATGCAGCGACAGTGGAGAGGAAAACTCTTCTTTAACAGGAAGAAATCTTAAACAGATTAGCTCACAGCAAACATAAATAGATGGATTTAAAAAAAAAAAAAATCTGAAATGTAGAAAGCAGATTTGTCATAAAGCAATTGACAAATAACGGATATGATATAATGATTTACATGGAAGTGCTCTAATATTGCTGAGCTGAAATCTGCTGTTTAAACTCCTTTAGAGTTTAGTAAGTTGATGGCATCAAGCAGGCAGATCAGAGACATAGAAGGGACTCAGATGCGCTGATCTAGGGATACCATCTATGTGAGTTAAAGGCTAAAGGTGTAGTTCAGGTTTAAGGTGTGAAACGTTCATCATCTGTTGCTGAGAAGCAGCAGTGTCCCCCCCCCGTCACCGAGCCTCCTGCTCTGAGAAACGTAACAGATCTGGGAAAAAGTAGTTCAGGTACGATTTCAACTCAGAAAAAACAATGTATGTGTTTTGTTAAATTATTTCAACAACTTTTAGACATCCTGATACTAAGACAGACCTGGATATTAATACAGGGTTCCCGCGGGTCCTTAAAAAGTCTTAAAAGGCATTGAATTCTTCAAAATAAAACTAAGGCCTTGGTATTAAAATGTTTTAAATCAGTCTTTCGTAGGTCTTAATTTTTAAAACATGATAAATAGGATTATTTTTATTACGATTTATTTTTGTAATCTAAAGAAAACGTTAAAATTGACCTTTTTTTTTTTTTATTTAAAAAAATAACGGCTC